GATCTGCATTCAACGCGCTACAGACGTGACGGAGTCTAGTATGTATTATATCAAATTTTCTGTTACCTACAGACAGTTTAGTTACAGGTTTGTTTTTCCTAAAAATGCTATGTTTAAATTTTGACACTGTTTCTAGAGTTCTAGTTGAAATATCTAATGAATTCCACATTCTCAGGGTACTGGGGATAAACGATTCTTCATACAAAACTAGTCGACACTTGGGTAATACATAATCTTGACCATTTCTTAAATTATATCTACTAATGTCATTTACTTTATTGGGTACGATGTCGTTTAGGTAAGAAGGAACTAAATTATGGTGCATTTTGTATAATAATAACTTTTTTGTTTGTTTCCGTCTGTCTTCAAGTTTTTCCCAGCCAGTTTCACTATACAAAGACTGTCTACTAGCAAATAAAGGCAAACCTGTAACTATTCTGGCTGCTTCCAGTTGGACTTTTTCTATTTTATCAGAATCTGCATTGTTACAACCATCCCACACTTCACTCGCATATTCTAAAATAGGTCTGATGAATACAATGTATAATTTTGATAAAATTTCTTTATTCACAGTAAATTTCAATTTTCGTAAAACAGACAAATGTTTAGAGGCTGATCTGGCAATATGCAAGATATGTGTTTCCCACTTACCATTTTCATTTAAAGTTACCCCTAAGTGTTTGTGTGTAACACTTTTTGTCAATGTTGTGTTATTAAAAATCAACTGAACATCAAGTCTTTCTAAAGAACCAGTAAAAACAACTACGTCTGTTTTATTAGGATTAAAATTTACATTCCATTTCTTTGACCATTGTTCAATAACTGCTAAATCATGGTTCATGTAATATTCAATTTCTGCACTATTATTTGAAGAATATGCGATTGAAGTGTCGTCAGCAAACATTCTTGACAATGAATTTTTTTTTTTACAAATATCATTAATATATAACAAAAATAGAAATGGTCCTAAAACAGAACCTTGTGGTACACCAGCATTTACATATCCTGTGTAAGAAAAAGCTTCACGTAAACATACCATTTGATTTCTACCACTTAAATAATCTCTCAACCAATTATAAATATTGCCTCTTAGACCATATGCTTTAATTTTTTTCATTAAGCCACCATGCCAAACTCTATCGAAAGCTTTTGAAATGTCAAAAATTACCATACATGTTTGGCGCTTATTTTCTAATGATAAACAAATATTATGATACATTTCTAGTAATTGTGTAACAGTAGAATGACCTGGAACAAAGCCTGACTGGTGTTTATACAGGAGGTTGTTATCGATGACAAAATTAAATAAATGCTTGTATATTACTCGTTCAAGCACTTTACTGACAGTACTAAGAAGAGAAATAGGTCTGTAATTAGAAGAAAGAAAACGCTCGCCTTTTTTAAATAAAGGTATTACTATAGCTGTTTTCCATTGACTTGGAAACTTACATTGACTTAGAGATAAATTAAAAAGCAATTGAAGAGGTATACAAACACTTTCTGCAGTATTTTTTAACATTGCATGACTAATTTGATCTTTTCCCGTAGCTTTGTTTAGCTTCAAAGTTAAAAGAATATCCTTTATTTCAGTTACAGAGAAGACAATATTTTCAATTGAATTAGGGCATCTTGAAGGAAATTCTGGGATGATAGTGGGTTCATCAATATTTTTAGCAATGGAACAAAAAAAAAATTGAGTAAATCTGCTTTTTCTTTATCAGCATACACAAACTCACCTATATCACTGTCATATAATGAGGGAATTGATTCTGATTTGGCTGTTTTACCAAGAAGTCGATGCATAAGTTTCCAATATTGTTTAGAATCATTCAAGGCAAAAATATCAATAATTCCGTTAATATTTTCAAAAAACGATGTTTTAGCATACTTCTTCATATTGTTTACTTTGTTTCTCTGTTGCCTGAATTTCAGAATGTCGCATGAACGATTAAATCTACACGCTTTTTCTGATTTCCCTCCGTAATTCTGAATTAAACCAGGGTTTATCATTCTTCCTAACAGTTATTTGTTTTTTTGGTATGCATAGATTAGCAAACTCGAGAAATGATGAAGTGAAAATATCACAAGCTTTATCTATATTACAATTTTCAAAATGTTCCCCCCACGAAAAATTCCTAATCAGATTATTTAACTTATCATAATCAGCATCTTTATAAATCCATACATCACGTTTGTATGTATTCGTACTTTTACCTGGTAATTTAATAGCAACATGTGTGGCAGAGTGGTCACTTATTCTATTTTCAACAGGTATAACAGAAGATTCTAGAACATGAACAGTATCACTTACACATATAGGATCAATCAGAGTCTGTGTATTCGCAGTAACCCTGGTAGGTTCATATATTACATTGGTTAAGTTAAAAAGAATAATAATATCATTAAGTCTATGGTTTCGAACTGTAACCATATCAATATTAATATCGCCAAGTATGATGATATTGGTACTATAGTTAAAAGCCGTCTCTATGGAGGTCTGGAAATTGTCCCAAAAAGGTATATTGGATCCTTCAGGACGGTACACAGTACAGATAAGATATGAGCAACCAGTACAATTCAGTTCAATCCATATGATTTCACCGCCTGGAAATTCTAAATCGTGTCGACGTTTAAAATGAACATCTTCGGCTATGTATATCATTACACCACCACCAAAACAGTTTCTATCTAGTCGGAGTGGCTCTGAGAAACCTTCAATCAAAAGATCAGAGTTTGGTACATTATCATCGAGGTGTGTTTCAGTAAATAATAGAACTGTATACTCGTGAGCTAAGGATTCGATATCAGAAATTTTATTACGGATACTTCTTACATTTAGATGGAAGAAAGAAAACTCTTTCTGTTCTAATTCGGGCCCGGGATTTGTTTCAATACCATTGCATAAGAGTAATATCAATACAATAGTATAGTAGGGGTTTTCCAGAAGACATTTCTGGTTACGGAGGATAATTATCATTGCTTGCCGGTTAAGTGCAAGTAGTTTTGGATTACCAAGCAACAGAAAGACAAAAAGTCATATATCAAAAAGTGTGCATTTACATAAATATGATATTAAAACGCCATGCATTTTTAGGTAGTATGTCCCTATTGCCACTCTGTACAACACTTAATCAATAGGCATTTTGCGATTTTGAAATTAAAACCAGTAGTGGTAAATGCACAGAGTAAGGCAAAGGAACTCGTATAAAACTTTTTGAACTGATATGGGGTACATTGGGTATGCTATATACAACTAACATATGAAAATATGTACAAAAATGGAAAAGTAGGAGAAAAAATAAACACGTCCATGTACTTGAACGTATCAAAAGAAACAAGACGTTTTTGAGCATAACAAATGACTGATCCTCCAATATGAGAAGGATGGGCAGCAGAACAATTTGGTATTTACGTATATATACACAATGAATATTATAAAAATAGTTATAGGGGTTAAAGAGAATTCCACGTTTAGGATAACAAAACGATAATTAAAGTCTGAAGAGAGATATTTCAAAAACGAATAGAATGTATTGATGCATTCTATGTTCATGCTAATTTTAGCAAAACAATATCAAGCAATTAAAAGCACCAATTGCTTAGTTTCTGACCCATGACACCAGACGAGACAAAAATATGGGACCAGACCATGTTATATTGTTTGCCTGTTTGATCAGGAAATGGAGAACGTTTAGCAATCTTCAGCTTGTGTGCGGACTAGTTTCAATTTCACAAACAGAAAAACTTGAATTGTAATCAAAACAGCACCGTGGTATCAGCTGAGATTTAGCAGACGACTAATGCAGGGATATTGAATATATTTACAAAAGCCCATTACGTAAATTAAAGTTTGCTTCTAATAGTGGACTTGGTACATATGTAAGTCGGTATAGACCGCTTGGAATGGTGGGATCCTGGGGGGG